GGAGATGGAGAACGAAGAAAGAGCAAAGAAAAGTGTATTTAGAGCCCAGAACGAATGCAACGTATTGGTGGTGTGCAAACAAAGACGGAGTCATTAGTTCAACTACTTACTCTAGCCAAAAACATAATGTACAGCCACCATCTTCGGTGAATAGTAAGAAGTCAACTTTGAAATATGTATCCCCTAGTCACAGAGGACTTTCTGCAGAGACCTACTCACCCTCTTGACCTCCTCCTTGAAAGCCTCCGCATTCTTCCTCTGCCTTCCTTTCCTCAGCTCCGAGAGGACCTGCTTGTGCTCGAGCCTTGAGTTTCTTGGGCACCTGCCTGGTCTCCAGGAGGTGCTGCTGTCGCAGCTCGTCCACTCTGAACTGGTCACGCCTCGCTTGCAGCTCTATCTCCTGCACACGGGACAGAACACTGCATCACACAGGGTTAGAAATACTGCTCATTTCTACATGACCATTCTCTGCTGTTTTAGCTTGGCAAGGCTCAGGGGAAACTCCTCAGGCTCAGATGATGTATGTTCTGACTTTTAAGCACTCTAGCTGAAGAGACGGACATTGCATGCTCATGATTATCATAATGTATGCATGTACACTGCACATACATACATTTGTAGGTGTGGAATCACACAATTATTGTACTCTTGGGAAGTCAATAATAAGGGATAGGGTGTACATGTCGCCACGACGCCTCCGCCTCTGCCCGGGAAAACGGCACCAGGGACGCGCTGGTGGAGGGTGACGTGTGCATCGCCATCCGGCAAGCGCGTTATAATACCTTCTGGTGACGAGAGTGCATCTGGTGTCTCTGCATGTGGAAGGCTTCCCTCAGCTCCTGCTTCAGCATCTGGTGCCTGTCCTGTTTCTGTCGCTGCTCCATCTCCCACAGCTCATTGGTGTGGTCTGCGGGATTGGATAATACAGTCTATAGCTTCCGCAGCACGCTCTAATGCATGCTGTCTATTGTGCACTGTAGCCTACAAGTGTGGCCAATGCATACAGATACATTGAGTCTAGTGTGCTTTTTAGTCTAGAAGGCAGTTTTTTTACAGGACTAAGCTCACCTCAAATATACCATGTTTCACGGAGAAGAGTTTCGTAACTCAAATTTTGCGATGGAAAACAAATGCCCCCCACCCACAAAGGTTTGTGGGGATTATAAACAGCAAAATCAACAAAAATTTTCCGAATGTTTCCTGCTATACTGTACAGTATGCTGCTCAGAAATGAAGGGAAGGATGGAGAGACGTGATCGGAGTAGAGAGGTGGGGGGTGGTGGTGGGGTGGGTGGGGTGGGGTGGGGGGTTTGGTGTGTTTGGTGTTGTTGTTTGGTGGGGGGGGGTGGGGGGTTTGGTTTGGGGGGGGGGGGGTGGGGGGGGTGGGGTGGGTGGGTGGGGGTGGGGAGAGAGTGAAGAGAGGGATGGAGGAGAGAGAGGGGAGATGGAGAGAGAGAGGGTGAGAAGAGGAGAGAGAGGAGGGAGAGAGAGATTGAGAGTTGGGGGTGGGTGGGGTGGGGGGGGGGGGGGGGGGGGGGGGGGGGGCGAGAGAGAGAAGAGAGAGAGAGAGAGAGAGAGAGAGAGAGAGAGCTCAATGGACTACGTACTTCTCTCGAGGTCTTGTCTGGCCTTAATGCCGGCCAGCTCCAGGGACTTCATGTCCATCTTGTGTCTCTCCAGAATGTTGTTCAGCTCTCGCTCGTAGTTGGCCACCTGACGCTCGCCGAACTGTCTCTCCTGTGGGAGTGGGTAAGACATTCAGACACTCTGTGTTTAACTCTAATCCGGACACCAGTGGGACAGAAGAAAGCATCCTTGTTTTAGTGAGTTGTCAGGGGTTAAATTGCATGCAAGATCTGTTACTGGGGAAAGAAAAGGTGTCCTTATTTAGAGGAGTTTTCCCAGAGAGGGCTTGCACTGTACAAAACAAACAGGCCACCCCTGATCAATGTGTGAAAATGAAAATGTTTTCTTTTTGTCTTACGTTTTCTTGTCTCTTCATCAAAGCTTCAGATTTGGCCTTCTGCATCGCCAGCTTTCGCTCCGTCTTGGGAGAGAGCTCTCCAGCTGCGAACAAACAGGAAGTGAGGGAGAGCGAAATTTGAGAGTAAAGCATGTCATAATAATGATAATTTCCAGAAAGCACTGAACAGAACGCACACACAGTACACATACGTGTACATACCCTTTTCAGGCTCAACTTTTCCTCGTCTTTCTGTTGCTCCTTGTAGAGTTTGAGACTCCTTGTCTACATACAATTAGGAATGTACATACATACATACATACATACATACATACATACATACATACATGTAGAAAGCTCAGGAGCAGACAACAACTACAGTGAAGCCAGGTGTTTTTTCAAGTGGAAAGGGGGTAAGGGGAGATATCACCTCCTCCCCCTCATATAGGCTGAATTTGCCATCCCTGAACGACATTTAACATTCCCCCTTGCTTAGTCCCAATTCTACCCCACCCTCCCCCCCACCTCTGAAAATGTATACAGACATCTATTCTCTATTTATGCATACTATACGTACATAAAAACAGACCTGCTCTGACTTGAGGCTTTTGGCCTTAGACTTGAACTGCTGTAGTTGCAGCTGCTCCAACTTCTCCACCTCCTTCTTCTGTTTCTTGACCATGGCGTCGGAGACGGCCTCGAACCGCCGCTCCACCTCCTGTCGCTCCCCCTCCACCTTCTTCTCCTGCGCCTCCCTCTCCACCTTGATTCGGTTGTAGAACTCCGTTGTCTCCTTCATCTCCTCTCTTTGCATCCTCTTCAGCAGGTGGGAGTCTCCCTTTCTGTACACAAACAGTTTCAAGAGAGATATGATGCCGATTACTTGTCTCTTTTCTGCATAATATTATACATACTGAAAGTTCATGAATGTGTGATTGTTAGAACGCATGCTTGGTCAATGCATAGAGCTCCTCGTCATAAAAAGGTTGCACAATAGTGCACATACAAACTAATACTGTATATCAGTTTGGTGTATTCGTTATCTATCCACTGCCTGTACATCACATGGTATAACTTTCTTCATGTGCACATACACTGTGTAAGAGATTGTGTATGTATGTACAGCTAGAATCAAAATGATCTACTTGAAGCCCTCAAACACTTAGTAAACACGCACAAACAATAATTGTGTGTTTCACCTCATCTCCTGGTACTTCTTGTTGTCTCTGAGAGTCTTGTTGGCCTTCATGTCCACGATGCGACGTGTCCGACTCTCTATCACCTCTCCGTCCACCTTGAACTTTCGGACCCGAGACAACGTCCCGTACTTGTACCCCTCCCCCTTGGCCCCGCCCCCTTCCCTACGAGGCGTGGCGGCTGGAGTGTTTGTTTCGGAGCTACTGGTGCTACCTGCAGTGGAAAACACACACAGTCTGTCAACAACAACAAACAACAACAACACCATTGGATAAACAAATGATGTCCGTGTTGTGAACGCACCGGCAGGAGATGGGGCCATCAACTCGATGGGGGGCAGGGAGGGGTCCTCGGGGATCATGACGGGAGGTGGCCCCACCTCCGGAGTCGAAGGGGGAGACAGCCGCACCTCCTCTGTCACTTGCGGAGGGGTTGTGGCTTCCCCCTTTGCCAATTGCATCGGTTCAGGCTCTGGCCCAATGTCTGCAAGAAAAAGAGTTATGTCAAATTCAAAAAACTCCATTCACGTTCTGCATTGTGTTCTCATGTGTATAGCGGGAAACTCTTGAGGAAGAACCTGAGCCGGCCATGAACGTTTTCTCCGCAAATTTTGTGGGCGGCAATATTTGTATTGAGTAACCAGCAAAAATACACGGAAGTTTTCTACGTGAAATGTGCTTTTTTAACACACGGAAGTTTCTTCCCTCAAAAGTTTCCTGCCGTACTGTATTAGGTTCACACATACCATTCGGTATAGCAGCAGTGTGTCCACGATCTCCTACCGTAGTCTCCTACAGTGATGTATACATTATGTCACCAGGATAATGGAACAGTGTATTGTGTAGTGGTGTGTATGGCTCCTCACAGTGTGTTCCTCCTGTGTAGTGATGTCGGCATCTTCCGGGAGCTCTTCCACCAACTCAACCACCTCACTTTTTACCTCCTGTCAGAGAGAGAGGGAGAGAGAGGGAGGGATTGAAGAAAGGAAGGAGGGGGGAGGGAGGATTCAGGAAACTGAAGAAGACGTTATAGGAATGCATAAAAACCACACTTCAACTTATGGGCATTACATTGCACACACGCATGCCTTGTATATTACATGACTGGCCGCATTTCTATGGTGCGCATGGCACACAAGTACACACTCACATAGTGTATTGTACTGCTATGAACACAAGTCTTTCAAGTGCAGTGAGAATTACTGCATATCGTTTACATTTCTACACCGTTAAACCCACACTTCTATGGTTCGCATGGCCCGCCACTGTACACCAAAATACACACACTTACACTTACATACAGTACAACTACCTACGCATTGTGTACATATGAACACATTCTTTCCAGCGCAGTAAATATCGTGCTGCATGTCACTAACCTGATAGAGAGCTCGTAGAGGCTTGTGGTGGGACACGGACGCCACAAACGGGTGCTGGAGCAGCTCAGTGGCGGAGGAGCGAGTCTCCGGGTTCTTTGTCAGGCACTTGCGCAGGAAACTGTTGAACTCTTTCGACCTGCAAGTCATATCCAAAAAACTAACATTGTACATACATGCCTAACACAGAAATGGAAGGCCTGATAAGAAGACTGATATACAGTACCACATTTGCATCCACTGATATTGTATGAGAAAAGTAAATGGATGCATTACACATGGATCGCACAAAAGAACAAATGGAGAAATATTGGCACTGAAAATTGAAAGTGCAAATGTTTCTCCCTCAAAACAAGTTTTCTCCACCGAGTGTGTGTGTGTGTGTGTGTGTGCTCACCACTTGTGTGGGAGCTCCACAGTGGGAGGGTCGGAGCGGGTGATCTTGAGGAGGACCCTCATGGGGGACATCTCGTGGTACGGAGGATTCATGTCCGCCAGCTCTATCAGAGTGATCCCCACACTCCAGATGTCCGCCTACATACAGACATTGAGGAGGAGGGTACGTATACGTATAGTAATACAACCATGTAATGTGGTGGAACAGAGCTCAATTAATTTCCTGGTGGAATTTGTCATACATTACTGTTGCCGCCTCTCACATTTCACAAAGTTCAAATAAGCCCCCCAACACTACACGCTAACACAACAGCTAACATAATACCCAAAACAAGCAGTTATTGTATAGGGCCCAATCTCACTGCAGTGGTCCCCCACCTACACGTACACACAGGGTAGACACTGTATGGAAATGGTTGTGTGGCATTGGGCATTACATCTGTACCTTCTGATCATAGGGAGCGTCCTTGTTTGTTTCGCACACCACCACCTCTGGGGCCATCCTATGAAGAGCAAAACACGACAGGTCACAAGGTCAGAGGAACTGGATAAACTCCATTACTGCAGTGTGATTGTGTGTATCACAATTACCTGCCGCGTACCACGCAGAGAACTGAATGGAATTTGCCACGCGGGCAGCTCAGAATGGTCCTCGTTACAACTCACCACGTACACTGCCTTATACTGCTAATTGGAACCCCTTCCCAGTGTAAACCACCATGCAAAGTTAGGGCTTGTCTTTAATACACAATGACTTTGAGCCCTGTTGTGTGTCCCAGCAGCAACCTTATAGGCCCGTGTGTCTTTCCCTGCATCCACTGTGTACAGATGTATGTATGTATGGCGCTATTGTTTGTGGATATGTATGGGGACTGAATATAAGGCTTCTATGTGTACAGGTATGTACATCTATGGCAGTAGTCTGACACTGAGCATGAATCGTCACATTGTGTGTCTGCAACATAACAACATGAACGGCAGAAAAGACCGAAAAATGAGCCACCACGGATAGGACTGGAAATCACCACCCCACGAGGCAGAGCGTTAGCGTTATTCCTGCTGAGCTACCGGGAGTGCAGCTCAGCAGGTTGATACACCACTCTGTGTGTTGGGGCCTACCAGTATGGAGCTACTGGGAGTGCAGCTGATACACCACTCTGTGTGTTGGGGCCTACCAGTATGGAGCTACCGGGAGTGCAGCTCAGCAGGTTGATACACCACTCTGTGTGTTGGGGCCTACCAGTATGGAGCTACCGGGAGTGCAGGTTGATACACCACTCTGTATGCTGGGGCCTACCAGTATGGAGCTACCGGGAGTGCAGCTCAGCAGGTTGATACACCACTCTGTATGCTGGGGCCTACCAGTATGGAGCTACCGGGAGTGCAGCTCAGCAGGTTGATACACCACTCTGTGTGTTGGGGCCTACCAGTATGGAGCTACCGGGAGTGCAGCTCAGCAGGTTGATACACCACTCTGTATGTTGGGGCCTACCAGTATGGAGCTACGGGAGTGCAGGTGATACACCACTCTGTATGTTGGGGCCTACCAGTATGGAGCTACCGGGAGTGCAGCTGATACACCACTCTGTGTGTTGGGGCCTACCAGTATGGAGCTACCGGGAGTGCAGCTCAGCAGGTTGATACACCACTCTGTGTGTTGGGGCCTACCAGTATGGAGCTACCGGGAGTGCAGCTCAGCAGGTTGATACACCACTCTGTGTGTTGGGGCCTACCAGTATGGAGCTACCGGGAGTGCAGCTGATACACCACTCTGTGTGTTGGGGCCTACCAGTATGGAGCTACCGGGAGTGCAGCTGATACACCACTCTGTATGTTGGGGCCTACCAGTATGGAGCTACCGGGAGTGCAGGTTGATACACCACTCTGTGTGTTGGGGCCTACCAGTATGGAGCTACCGGGAGTGCAGGTTGATACACCACTCTGCGTGTTGGGGCCTACCAGTATGGAGCTACCGGGAGTGCAGCTGATACACCACTCTGTGTGTTGGGGCCTACCAGTATGGAGCTACCGGGAGTGCAGGTTGATACACCACTCTGTATGTTGGGGCCTACCAGTATGGAGCTACCGGGAGTGCAGGTTGATACACCACTCTGTGTGTTGGGGCCTACCAGTATGGAGCTACCGGGAGTGCAGGTTGATACACCACTCTGTGTGTTGGGGCCTACCAGTATGGAGCTACCGGGAGTGCAGGTTGATACACCACTCTGTATGTTGGGGCCTACCAGTATGGAGCTACCGGGAGTGCAGCTGATACACCACTCTGTATGTTGGGGCCTACCAGTATGGAGCTACCGGGAGTGCAGGTTGATACACCACTCTGTGTGTTGGGGCCTACCAGTATGGAGCTACCGGGAGTGCAGGTTGATACACCACTCTGTGTGTTGGGGCCTACCAGTATGGAGCTACCGGGAGTGCAGGTTGATACACCACTCTGTATGTTGGGGCCTACCAGTATGGAGCTACCGGGAGTGCAGCTGATACACCACTCTGTATGTTGGGGCCTACCAGTATGGAGCTACCGGGAGTGCAGGTTGATACACCACTCTGTGTGTTGGGGCCTACCAGTATGGAGCTACCGGGAGTGCAGCTGATACACCACTCTGTGTGTTGGGGCCTACCAGTATGGTGTTCCTATGAAAGTGTCCCTCTTCTTCTGCTGTTGGCCTTTGTTGGGTCGCGCAGACACACCAAAGTCAGCTGGATGGGGGGAAATTTGTGCATGCACAGGCCCAAACATACAGGGTTAAACATGTAAACATGTGGACAAACATGATTAGAACAACAATCATGCAGAGCATTAATAGAGGTGGTGAGTTAGCTTCACCTCTTCCATGACATTGACCCCGAAAGCGTAATTATTGCCGCTTAAAATCTCTGTAGGATTCCCAGCATCTCATGAGAAAACCTCCCCTCTCCTGACACAAACTCCTAGAAAGCCTTACGGTATCAAAAACCATTCCTTTTGTGTGCAGTATAAAGGCATGAAGAATGCAGATGGTAGGCTCATGGATTTACCTGCTCTTACCAAGCCCACTCTCACGCTACCTTCCATACGAAGAAGCTATGTACGTAGCTACAGAGTTAGAGCGTGTTTTGCTGACTGGAGATGTTCCTACGCTCACCGAGTCTGATGGAGCCGTCGGGACAGAGGAGGATGTTGCCTGCCTTGAGGTCGCGGTGGATGCAGCCACTGGTGTGGAGACACTCCAGGGCCTGCAGCATCTGGTGAGTGATGCAGCGGATCTGCGGCTCAGACAGACCATGGTCCAACTCTGAGTGTGAGAGAGAGAGAGAGAGAGAGAGAGAGGACAGAGACAGAGAGAGAGAGAGAGAGAGAGAGAGAGAGAGAGAGAGAGAGAGAGAGAGAGAGGGGAGAGAGAGAAGTTGAAAGAGAAAGATGTCGCTAATTGCCAGTCCTGTGTAACTGCTAAACACCGTGGACAGTTCACAAACAAACACTAAAGTTGCGAAATTTTTCTCCCTCGAAAGAGTCCCGCTGTACAGTATAATGTGTTAGTGGGGTGGTGAAGAAATATGTAAGGTATAAATTAGCAGTATGCTAACGATCCACCGCATACTCCCTTGAGGGAAGAGGATTACGAAATTGCACTGTAACTGTCAGGAAGCCAACATGCGATACTATACATGGTTTGCTATTCGATGTACCCCTCCTTGCTATGCAAGGCAGCGTTTCTCATAATAATATTACACACACATAATTAGATTGATTAGTGTCAACACACCAATAATGATGTCATCCACAGCTCCTCCAGCACAGAACTCTATAAATATCTGTAGAGAGTCATATACAATATTTTACACAACTGGTAGTCACGTCACGTTTGAGAGGGGAGTACAGGTGGGTGGAGGAATGGTCGGTTGTATTTATACAGTGTGAATGCATTCAACTCATCTAACAGAAGAAACCCAATGCTTTAGAGGACTATTCTCACTGAATGGTACAGGTATATTAAATGACAAGGAGGATTTAATGAAAGGTGTCAATCAGGCCAGGAAAGCCTGCGAACACACATAGATCAAGTAATGCATCTTCTTCAAAACGGATTTAAGTTAAGTGTAAACATAAACATGCCCGAAAACTGAAAACAGGGAAATTGTGCAACTGCATGCAGGTACATACGTGCACACAGGAGTCTCACCCATAGGGCAGAGTCATGGAAGAAGGCCTGGTAAAGATCGACAATGTTCCGGTGCTTGCACTCTGTGAGGATGTCAATCTCCACCATAAAGTCCTCCAGCTCCGTCTCGTCCTGGATGGGTACCCTCTTCAACGCTGCCAGCACCCCTGTCTCCCTGTTTTCTGCCTATGTAAATTGAATTAGAGAGAGAGTCAGCTATAAGACCCGTTCTTTACCAACGGGACAGTATATTATATTGCATGAGATTTGTCAACGTAAACACTTCGATTGACTGGTGCATGCAGCAATTGGCGGTCAATAACTCTGCTTCTACCTAATTACGGCTGTTCTCTCCGTTGCCAAGTTTTGCCTGTGACGGACCCAGCTGATCGGGGCATATCAGGGAAAGTTCATACTCTAAGTCGCTCTACGTCGCAGTGCTACAATATGTAGGGTGCTGCACGGTCGACTAGCAAACAAGACATCACAATCGAGCAACAAACGAGCCGTACCTTGTACACCTTCCCGAAGGCCCCGTCTCCCAGCTCTCCGGTCTTGTTCCATAGCTCCAGCGGATCTTTGCCTCTGGTGAGGTTGGGAAATTCTCGTTTTGCCTTCCCAGATCGTCCGAATAGCTTGCTGAACCACTCCATCACCTCCCTGACCGATCACAGCAGTGGAAACAGCGGACTTGGTTGCATTCCTACGGAGCGAGACACACCCATTTTCAAAGGTCGTTTACGTCATTTAGCATCACATGATACCTCCGGATTCTTTAGTAAATTAGCTCTCTTGCCACGTGTTTCTCTTGGTGCGTGAGAATCTGCAGCGATGAAGTTGAACAAGAGCGTGTCTTCTTCGCGGAGAAAGCAGCGAAAGCGCCACTTCAGTGCTCCCTCGAGCGTCCGGAGAGTGTTGATGAGCGCTCCGCTCTCGAAGGAGCTGAGAGCCAAGCACAACGTCCGCTCCATGCCCGTTAGAAAGGACGACGAAGTGTTGGTGACTAGGGGACACTACAAGGGCCAACCTGCGGCTAAAGTCACCGCTGTGAGTGCCTGAAGACCGACTGTATATAGTACCAGTAAAGCTGCCTGGTGTTTGTGTAGGTGTACAGAAAGAAGTGGGTGATTCATATCGACAGATTGCAGAGAGAAAAAGCCAACGGAGCCTCTGTGCCAGTTGGAATCAACACTAGCAAGGTGCCTCCTCGTACAGGCCGTATGCTTGTTTTACAATTACCTTTTTATTTTTTGACTAAGGTTGAAATAACAAAGTTGAAGTTGGACAAAGATCGGCGCAAGATACTGGAGCGAAAGGCACGGCCCAAGCTGTTGGAAAAGGAGAAGGGAATGGGAAAACACAAAGAGAAAGATGTGCCCCAAGCAATGGAGTCCTGAGGTGATAAAGCCGTATACAATTAGTGTATTTTAGTGATTTCTCTTCTTTTCAATTGGTGCAGATGGACTTCGCATAGTGTTATGGTGTATTTCTGTGTCCTCTGTAAAAAAAATGACAGTTGCACTCTTTAGCGCCATCGTAATTACATAAGCGCGCGGCAGGCGCACTCTCTCTCGGGAAATGACCACACCTCCGCATCCGCCGCGCAACACCGAACTCGGATGTTGAGGTTTGTGACGGTGTTTCTCAGTTGCCAGTTCAATCTTTACACTTGTGAGGCGGCAAAGACGGTGAAAGAACCATGGTGAGTCCGCTAGACCTACCAGATAGTCACGAGCGTGGTGGTGCTAACGTCGAACGATGTTATGAACCGTTGTTTTCCCGTCTTTCCCGGGCGTACAGAGCAGGGCGAAAGCAGCAGGCAAGAAGCACCCGAAGAGGCGCGGCCAGAGGGCCACCTCTAACATCTTCGCCATGTTCGACCAGGCCCAGATCCAGGAGTTCAAGGAGGTGAGTCTCTAAGGCGCAGTCCGTCAGGAGCACGGCGAAAACCCAGCAGGAGTGTGATATACGCCCTACCACTTCTATTCTCATAGGCGTTCAACATGATAGACCAGAACAGAGATGGTTTCATCGACAATGAGGACCTGAAGGACATGCTTGCTTCGTTGGGTAAACCCCCACTTGTTCTCTCTAGGTCTGACCTATGCATGGAACCACCATTTCTCACTCACACCCATAGGCCAGGAACCCAACGATACTGTGGTGGATGGGATGATGTCGGAGGCCCCAGGCCCTCTCAACTTCACCATGTTCCTTACTCTCTTCGGAGAAAAGCTAACGGGTGAGTTGCCGTGTATGCACAAACACCAGCAACTCCTGTACACACATGAAGGAAGGGGGGAAGGGGGGTGAGGGATCTAGTACATTGGGTCTAATAAGGAATGCACTGAGCTGTGCCAAGGAAATCTGGCATGCCACCTATCCTACCGGCCAAGCCTTTTATGGAATGCAGTGAATACATTGTTTGGTTATCTCGCTGTATCCAGGCACTGACCCCGAGGATGTGATCAGAAATGCGTTTGCCTGCTTCGACGAGGAAGGAACGGGAAAGATTCACGAAGATCGGTGAGTAGTACACACAAACACACACACAAGAATCATCGCTATAAACTGAAGCATGTTCCAACATGACTGTACAATTACTGTACATGATTTGTATGAGTGTTCCATTATGGCATTGTTCTGTCTTCCAACACACATACGTCTATATACAGTCTACGTGAGTTGTTGACCACCATGGGTGACCGGTTTACTGATGCCGAGGTATGTCCACCTCCCTGTGTACCAATACACACTCACTCCTCCACAAGCTATATGTCACTAGTTACATTCCCGTGTCCTCCTACATAACATCAGCATAGACGTTGAAACCAGTCATATGTACATACTCTGCTTCCTATACATACATACGTGCTCCACTCCAAACCATACATTATGTCAGGCATGGGATAATGTATGACTGTATGTAACATATATGGCTGGTGGCAGGTGGACCAGATGCTGCGTGGTGCTCCAGTGGACAGTGCTGGCAACTTTGACTATGTGGCCTTCACGCGAATCCTCAAACATGGCACCAAGGACGAGTAGCAAAAATGACTCCCCCATACTCTCCTACCAAGATATAATCATTAGAGTATCTTTTTGAGAATTATTTAGTTATGTGTAGAGAGCACCTTTTGTTCATCTGAATTTGGAGTCAGTTTAAGTGTTGTACTGTGATCATTTCCAATGTGATTTCAGTCGCTGTGTATATAGTGTAACACAGCAAGACAAGGCAACTCCCAATAAGTCCCCACCTAGTGTTTTCTTGTGACACAAAACCACAATGACATACAACAGCACGCATTGCTATAAAACAGAACAGTCACAAGAGATATGTTGGGAGGAGACGGGTGAGTGAGGATCGCCATAATAAGACACACAGTCGAGGCTTGCTGCTAGAGGTCTGGAGAGAAGATGGCTCTTCCTATCCTGACACTTGTGCTCCCCAACTCAATCTGCATTGGGGCAACAATGTGATGACAGGTCCTTCAGTAATGTATGGTGCATTCAATAGGTGATGTATATAGTTGGTGTGCTGCAGCATCACACAACACATACACATGTCCAATAATGCCACGAACAATCTTAGTAGATGGAACTAGGGCTATGCAACGCAATACATTAGACCACACCCACAATCTTTAACTGCATGCTATATAAATGATTATTCAGCGGTCATAGGACTGCTGATTCAGCACGACCAAGAAACTGCTTCAATATCACCAAACCCTTTCTCATTATGTGGGTGGAGTCTGGGTATGAGCCTACGAATTGTGGCGCTGTTTCTGACTTCAGATCCTACATGGGGAAACTAGTGACATAGCTGTGGCATTACTGGAGATCACTCCCATCGCACTCATTATGTACTGCACGAAAAAAAAACGCCAGAAGGAATGTTCGTGGACAACTCACAGCATGCTGGTAATCCTCAGTCATTCCCATACTCAACTCCAACTCAGCACAATGCAATTGTTGACACAGCACCTCCCGACACCACACCAGTTTCTGTATATACATATATGGACACCGTTACGTGTACGCGGACTTATGGAAAAATCAACGATTCAATTTGGGGGTATATGTATCCTCACGTACCATGAAGTCTGGATTAGGAGTGATTGGCTGAGACTGCCGTCCAATAGTCATGAGGCCAGTCAGCCGTAGGTGTGGACACTCTTCTAAGACGTAGTGACCTAAGTCACTACAGGCCTCTGGAACACATCCCCGCTTGCCTGCAGAGCAAGGGCGGAGGGAGATAACACAGTGGAATAAACAGACAAAAAGGTGTTATACACAATCATAAGAAGCCTCGAGTGTTAGTGTGCGACTCACAAATCTCTACAAAACAGTTCCATTGACAAAACTCGGTTTGTGTACAAACAGGATATGATCACTGCTCAAGTGAAATTTCTATAATTCAGCATTTTCAACAACATGTGGGTAACCACAGACTTACTCTCCTCTCGACTCGTGTTGACCTGGAGCATGATGCGAAGAGAGCCGCAGTCGAGCCCCCTGTCACCCCACCGGCGATCCAGAGCCTCTGCAGCCTTGAAGGAGTCCACAGTCTCCACCATCCACAGACCTGGGACCTCTGTGTACGGGGACCATTCACACATTGACACCATTATTACATACTAGCAATATTCATGGCTCAACCTTTTCCCAAAAGAATTTCACATTACCCAAAGCTGTGTACACTACATACTGGCTACAAAGGGAACAAAGACTTGGGAGAGACAGATGCTTAGTTGGCTACCACAGGATGATCAGCCTCTTACCAACAAGTTTCTTTGCGTTCCTCTTCTTTAATCGTCCAATATAGTGCCACCGAATATCTAAACCCTGTGATAATCATCGCAGGACTGATAGTGAAACTTGTGTGCAGAAATCACGGCAAAATTAACCTTTAGTTCTCTAGCTTTGGTCGTCAACTCTTGAACCTGCAGCGAAACAAAGTGCCGCTTGAAAGCAGTCAGTGTGTCGGGCAAGCTGTCCAACTCACATAGTTCTCTCCAAAGTGACGTACACCGTAGTCATACGCATTTTGAACGAGCTCTACCGGTTGGCTCTTGCTCGCAGCCACAAGTCTGGGAGGAAGAGAGCGTCCAGTCTGTGCCGGGGAACAATCGAAACATACACACAAACACAAATGCAAGGGAGTGGCTATACTTGGCCCAAGCGTGCAAACTGAGAGCTCAGACTGTTCCCATAGTCTAAAGAACAGTAGCAGGAACAAAGTTATAAAAAGGAGAAGAAAACAGAGGGTAGAGCTCCGTCTCTCACCTTCCGACTTGCCTTCTCCATACCAGCTAGGACTTTCTGTAGGGCACCGCCGACACTATCTAGGTGATGATGCGTTTGGGTGGCTCTCCCCACAGCGGCACTAGCCGCGCCGAACACCAGTCGCACAACACTATCTGGGCGCATGGTCTGTCACTAACTGGAGTCAAGGAATGTTTCTTCTCCTCGTGTTTCTTGGCAGCCGGCAAACTGCTCGCCTCGACCTTTACCATTCCTCCCTGTCCCAGAGCAACGGATAGAGGTACGGCGGATAGGCGCACGTATGGGGAGATGTATATACCCGTTCACAGCTCCCCAGCTGGTTCTATGTGACGGCGAAGAGAAAAGCAGGCGCAGCTAGCTCTAGCTAGTGAGACAACAACGCGCATGCGCACTTGGCTGTATAAAAGCTCCTCAAAGCGGTCGGTGTGGTGGTGTGGTGTGGTGGCGGTGGTATGAAGGTGGCTGTAGCCGGAGCTGGTGTAGTAGGCCTCTCTACTGCCTACTGCCTTGCGGAAAAGTTCCGAAGTATCGGTGTGTCGGTGACGGTTATCGCTGATGCGTTTAGTCCAAACACCTCCAGTGACAAAGCGGGGGCCTTGATTTGGCCTTTGCTCTTGGGTTCTTCTAGCCATAGGAGGGCCAAATATGATGCTCAATTACAGCAGTGGACGGTGGACACCTTCAAGCACCTCCACTCCCTCTACCACACAAACGAAGCTGCTGAAATACAGTTGAGTCTCGAATCAGGCTATCAATTCGTCCCCAATACAGCTGAACCTCCGTGGTGGAAAGATCTGGTCCTGGGTTTCCGCTGCATATCTGCCGACTCAAATGAGGTTCAGAGATTTGTCCAAACACACCAATCACATCGTAGCATGTCTGTGTGGGCCTTCTCAACCTACCTAGTGGACTGTAGGCTCTACCTCCCTTGGCTAATGGCTGGGTTCATGAGGAGGGGTGGAATGGTGGAACAAAGGCGGTTGAAGAGTTTGGATGAACTGAGGGGCTACGATGTTGTAGTCAACTGCACAGGACTTGGTGCTGCAGAACTGGTTGGGGATCATGACCTACATCCTGTTAGAGGACAGGCTGTGCTAGTGAGGGCTCCCTGGATCAAGCACTTTGTCATTGATGTCGACGACAGCAAAGAAGATTGGGTGTATGTTTTCCCACGTTCTTGTGATGTCCTGCTCGGGGGAACTGCAGTGAGTGGGGACTGGAGTGAGACAGTGGACCCTGCTACATCTGAAGCTATCTTGTCTCGGTGCACTGCCCTTCTTCCCAGTCTCCGTGGAGCAGAGGTGATCGGTGCATGGGTTGGAGGGAGACCTGTCCGAACTACTGTGAGACTAGAGAAGGAGGAGCGAGGTCCTGGGTGGCCACTAATGATCCACAACTATGGTCATGGAGGCCAGGGAATTGTTCTACACTGGGGCTGTGCCCTTGAGGTTGCCAACATGTTGGAGCAGTTCATCTTACGTTCTCATTTGTAGAAGCCAATGAACAGTGAAGCTTTACAAGTCATGTAGATTGGCATGTGAGCTATTTGTCAAAAGACTGCAGCCATTAAAAATGCGCATGTACATATGTAGAGCTTGTGGAACAAGGCCTGAGAAAAATACCAACAAAATCAACAAGTCGGAGCGTGATGCTGTACGTCGTAAAATAAAAGGTCGAACCTTATCATGCGCATGCGCGATGAAGGTGGCTGTCGTCGGAGCTGGTGTAATAGGTCTCTCTGCTGCCTACTGCCTTGCAGAGAGGTTCAGAGATGCTGGAGTGTCGGTGACAGTGATTGCCGAAAAGTTTAGTCCCAACACTACCAGTGACAGCAGGGCCTTTACCCAACCGGCAGTCGGCTATCCCAAGACGACTGAGTACGATGCTCGATCGCAGCAGTGGACGCTGGACACCTTCAAACACTTCTCCTCGCTCTACCACACCGAGGCAGCTGCGGAGATAGAGCTGAGTTTAGTGTCAGGCTATAAATTTGTCGATTGTTCAACAGAACCTCCACCTTGGAAAGATTTTAATTTGGGTTTCCGCTGCATCCCTGCCGACTCACCTGAGGTCCAGGCATTGATACAAACACCCACATCTCATAGTAAATTTTCTTCTCAACCTACCTAGTGGACTGCAGGCTCTACCTCCCTTGGCTAATGGCTGGGTTCATATATAAGGAGGGGCGGAGTGGTGGAACAAAGGCAGTTGAAGAGCTTGGATGAACTGAGGGACTACGATGTTGTAGTCAACTGCACAGGGCTTGGTGCTGCAGAACTGGTTGGGGATCATGACCTACATCCTGTTAGAGGACAGGCTGTGCGAGTGAGGGCTCCCTGGATCAAGCACTTTGTCATCAATATTGATGAGACCAAAGATTATCCCACGTCCTCGTGATGTTCTTCTTGGAGGAACCGCTGCTAGTTACTTGAGTGAGACAGTGGACCCTGCTACATCGTGTCTCGGTGCACCGCCCTTCTCCTCAGTCTCCGTGGAGCAGAGACACACTTACGAAACAACTACCGTAACCCTCGCTGCGCATGCGCGCCAAGGGTTAAATGGTCATGGAGGCTGTGCCCTTGAGGTTGCCAACATCACACTCTGAATGTGACTTGGAAATCTCCTGTACTGTACACATGTACTGTGGCTAACAACAAGCCATCTAATGATTCTGGATGCTTTGCAATATCTGCTCACATACCATTCACTATCCTTCCACTGAATGCTAAAACTGTAACAATTTCGTGGACAAGCAGTGAATTCTTCTCCACTTTATTTCAATGTTAGAGCAGTTCATTCTCATTTGCAGATTCCAATGAACATTGAGGTGTAGAGCACTTTATCTGTGGATGGCTACATGGTCGTTTGTATTGGCCAATATTATGACGGTGTTTGCAGGAACCAGGGAAGTAATTGCCTAGCCTGACGTGAGTTGTCGCATGCGCGTTTGGGATGGAACTAATAGTAGGCGGGGCTGCAGTTTGCTGCGCTCTAAATGGGGTCATGAGTTGGCTGATGAGGATGTGTCTGTGGAGACAGTGGAGGCCGTGTACAGCCGTCCTCACGCGCTACAGAGGTTCTTGAACTGTACTGCTTTGTATTTCCAGCCATGCAGTGTGCTAGTTCTGCAGGGATAAGCGGAGATCCGCTAGCTCTAACTGCCAAACTGCAAACTCAGCTTTCCAACCTTCTACAAGAGCATGACTCTCTGCTAAAGAGTGCCAACCGACCAGAGGTATGAGATTAACTTGCTCTAGTCGATAGTGCTACTTTTGGTTCACTCTCTAGGCCCTCAAAAACGTCCGAAGAGGAGCACGCAAAGACTTTTCGTAGACTTTCTTACCTCGAGAGGCTCGCCAAACTAGCCCAGCAGTTGCAACAGAAGAAAGAGGCAATAAAATACTGCTCACCAATATCTCTATGTCGACGCTATATGTATCTATTGGCAGGAAAGGGTAGAACTGGAGGTGATGTTACGTGATGATTCCTCACTTGCTGAAGAGGTGAGGCAAGAGATACTAGAATGTGACCAGGACCTCAGGGCCCTCGAGGTAAACTTGTTCGTCATCTTGTTCTCTCAGTATATCACCCCATTGCTGGTTTACACAGGGAGCTATAGTACGGGAGATGATTCCTAGAGACCAGAGCGATGACCATAGTGCTGTGCTGGAAGTACGAGCAGGTACAGTCATAATAATTATTATGAGCATAGTATGAGCAGTCAGTGTCTTGCAGTATCATGATATTTACTGAGATGAACGTTCTTTGAGTGTGTTTTCTTACTTTCAGCTGCAGGTGGTACGGAATCATCACTCTTTACCTCAGAGATGTTTGCTATGTACCAAAAGTGTGTTTTATAGTGTCATGTTTATGCTACCCTGTAACTTTCTTGCCGTCTCTTGGATTAGGTATGCAGCATATAGGAAGTGGGGATTTGAGACGTTATCTGTCAGTGAGAGTGAACTCGGGGGCTACAAAGTATGACTTTAGTTAGTGTACTAATCTTATGTGCACTCAACTATATATAAAGTCTTGTTCTGTCCACTCATACGTACATGCAGCAGGCAAGTGCCAGTGTAACAGGGACTGGGGTGTATGGCAGGCTCAAGTACGAGGCCGGGGTCCACCGAGTGCAGCGTGTGCCTGCCACAGAGACCCACGGTCGACTTCACACCAGCACCATGTCCGTGGCCGTCCTGCCACAGCCTAGAGACATCGAGGTGGTCCTGAACACCAACGACATCAAGGTGGACACTTTCAGAGCCGCCGGGTGAGTAGACAACAAGTCTTGAACCACCTTAGAGCCCCTAGCATTGTGCCTTCCAACTCTGAGTATGTTACGTGGCATGATAATTGTGCATGCGGGACAGTTAGACAAAGAAACAAAAACAGTCAAAAGCGACTTTGGACTGTTACTTTAACATTCCCCCCGTGTTTATTGCTGTATGCAGTGCTGGTGGGCAGCATGTCAACACCACAGACAGTGCTGTGAGACTGACACACAAGCCTACTGGGATAGTGGTCAGTATCCAGGACCAACGCTCACAGCACCAGGTATATTATACATGTCAATCAGATATACTTCAACAGTTCAACATGACTGGTTTTCTGTAGAACAAAGCCAAGGCCATGAAGCTGCTCCAGGCACTGATCTATGAACAGCAACGCAAGACAGCCGTGGAGGAGCGTGACGAGAAACGGCGGCAGCAAATTGGCTCTGGAGAGAGATCTGAGAGAATTCGAACGTACAATTTCCCTCAGGTGCATGCATCAGTATGTAGTGAGCTGTGTTGCACTGACTCATCATCCTCTATATATGTGTCAGTGTATGGGAATGCTGAGCTGCTAATAGCGAGAAAATCTCTTCCTCTTTCTTTCTTAGGATCGTGTGACTGAGCATCGTTTGGGGGTCACAGTGTGGGGAGTGGCAGGGTTCATGAGCGGGACCGACTCACTGGACAATCTACTGGAGCAACTTAGTGCACACGACCTTCAGGAAAACCTCACTAGACTAATGGAGTGACTGATCAGTTCATTTCACTTCACAGTTCAATTTATGATTTTAAAATACGCAATGTATAATAATACATACAATGAGGAAAATGCAGTCCAGACATCTTCGGCTTTGCTTCACTTATAGCAGAATGTGTGAGGTGGTAACTCAACTTGTTTGATACACTCCCGAGTTTTCATCCTCGGCGGGAGAGAGGTGTCCTTGTAGACAGTTTCTAGCTTGCTCCATCCCCTGGTTGATCCTGGCAGTGCAGGCCTCGCAGTCTTCCACCAGTCCTGCCAGCTCCTGCACCACGGCCGGGTCAAACTGAGACACAATGTCCACGTTCAACATCAGACCCTGGGCTGTGCGCAATATATAGTTACCACCAAGTGCCCACTTTTAGGAAGAATGAAAAACATCAGTGGGACTAACCACTGATGTTGTTCATTTTCAGTATCATCTGGGAGAGCTCTCTATTCATGGCCTCCAGAGCTGCCTTCTCTTCAATCAGCGGATGTTCTTCGACTTGGACGACAGGTGAGCCTGCACCTGTTGTTGCCAGCATCCCATGCTCCTGGTCCAAACCAGCCGACTGGATACTTACTCTTACAAGGCTATGTGACACACATGTCACATGGTCTTACCTGCTCAGAAAATTCCATGCCCTCCGGTCTCTCTTCTCGCTGTAATGTGATTGTTCATTGAATTTTCGCGCCGACCTTTTAGCGCGTATGACGACGCGCGCGCATAAATTAGCCGCTTGTTGTTTAATTTGGCGCGGGTTTTTGATGGCCTCTAGCTCTCAGTGATTCGATGGCAGCTGCTTGCCGGGACGACGAAGACGCTGGGGATACAAGTGGGAAGGCTAGAGCGGCCAATCCAAGGTCCACCCTGTCGACCGCCGGGGTACAATCGCTGCTTTTCGGTCATATTGACCTTTGTGCTGTGTCATCGTCACACGATGTAGTGGAGAAATCCCCGGGGCCTCCCCTCATTCTTGTGATATCCGACGACGACGAAGACTCGGAGCTGGAGGTGTCGTCCAACCGGAGACCTGTCAGGTCAGCCAGTCGTAACGACTAGAGAGTACAGCACAGCGCAACGCTTATGTACTCAGGCTACAAATTTTCATTAGTGGTTTGTTGTTTGTTGCAGGTGTGGAGGTGGCCAGCGGAGTGGTGCAGCTCGGCTCAGGTCTTCTGCAGGTTCACCCATTGTCATTTCTTCTGAAGACGAGGAGGAGGAAGAGAGCATGTCGCTAAAGAGGCCTCCCCATCACTACCACTACCACTCTAACTCCCATCCCCACCTCAACCACATTGGGACTGGGGGTGGGGCACACAGGAGCCGACTTCAACGCAGCAGGTAACACATGGACAGCTACATACATAGCTGACACTCTTTCTGTAAGTGTGGAAGAAATAACTGGCAGGCGTGGGCCTCCTTTGGTGTATATATAATTATAGTAATGTGAAAAAGATAATGTCCAAATCAATAAGTGTATATACCACCCTGTTTTTGTTGCTGCTGTTTTCTGCAGGTCTCGATCCCCACACAGACGCAAGCAGCACAGTGTTGGGCCTGGTCTTGGGCAGAATCGGGTAGACCCCATTGTTATCTCCTCTGATAGTGACACCGATTTTCACCGCTCCAGATCACATGTGAGTGATTGACTGCTCAGTATACACATGCAGAAGCCAAGATTTGGTGAAATCTGGGTGTAGTTCAAAGCATTAGAACCCATTTCCGTGATGTCTCTCTACATAATATACAACTCTCAAATATCTGTGCTGGGCTTTCTCTCCCCTGCAGTTCAAATCGTCCTCACGTAACTACAATCGTCTGTTTGATGGACCATCCCAGCACTCCCTGCATTACCCCCCGCAGTATGCAAGGCACCGACCAGCAATGACTCCTCCCCACCCTCTTCCCTCTCGTTACGTAAAACACTCCTCTAAACGGAGGCACCATTCTAGCAGCCCACATGGGACTAAGAAACCGAGGATTTCCCACCATTACCTGTTTAATGATAGGGACTCTCTCGATAGACGGAGTGTTCCAGTGTCCCCCCACCGGCAGATCAGTTCTTCTCGTGAGCAGTATGTTACTTCCCACCATCGAGACAGCAGGATATCACCTCGTGGCAAAGGCAGTGTGATGTCACCTACCAGTCTATCACATGGGAGTCCACCTCACTGGAAGACAATTTCACACCTCCACCACAGAGCTAATGGCAGCACTTCCCACATCAGAGTGACTCCGCCACCATCGTCAGCATATGCCAGCAGCTCAAAAGTAAAGACAGAGTACAGGTCACCTGAGGAGGCAAGGTACCGTTTGCCCCATCACACCTTCGGCTCACCCCCAGACAATCTTCCCCTGCACGTACCGCTCGTCAAACAAGAGCACCTCGTAAGGGAACTCTCTCCCACTCCCTCGCCACCTCCTCCACGCTCACCACCATCACCACACTCTCCAATGCAACCACCACCACCACCAGCACCATGTACTCCTCCTTCCCACGTGTCGTCTCACAGCACAGACCCACCTAGTGGCTGCATTCCGAGGAAAAGTCCGCTGCTAATGACACTCTCTCTAAAGAAGAAGAGAAGAAGGCTATTTACCGAGGAGGATGGAAACAGAAAAAGGGAGCTTAATATCAAGAAAGAAAGCGAACCACCAGTTAGTAAGGTAGACACTGAGAGACGAAGAAAATCGATTGGTGATAGAACACCTAGTCACGAGGCAATAACAAGCAGAAGGCCAAGTAGCGAGACAAAGAGAGGGAGGTCGGGCAAGAGTCTATTTTCATATGACTCCACGCCAGAGATTTCTCCAGTACAGAAGAAGGGGAAGAGAAAGTCGTCAGTCAGGCTCTCCGGTGGTCAGGGCAGCAGCAGACAAACACGACTGGAGAGGTACTTCCCAGACGACAGAGACATCACGCCACCTCTGGTGCCCGACAACCTCTTCTCCCTTGGAGCTGTTGGTGAGAACCACCGAGACCTTGTGGCTCCTGCGATGGGCCGAGCTCCTCATGTGGTGCTGAAGTCCCCGGCAAAGCCAGGTTGTGGAGCTTATGTATCTGGTGGTGGGAGTGCACCGAGGCACCGCGTAGCTCACCCGTTGGTTTCCTATCCTCATCCTCAGTCTCCCACGCCCAGGGTGAAACGAGAACCTAGCAGCACGCTAGAGTCTGACTCAGAGGAAGAGGACAAAGTCAAACCGGCCCTGCCACCATCATACTCACCACTGTCAGCAACTTCGTTCAGTTCTGACGACAGAGGGACCAAGTGTAGCAGGCCGGAGAGTCTCCCGCAGCTCTCAGTAGCATCGTCGTCGTGTGCTGTACACAAGTCGCAGACTCCATCGCCCTTACTTCCACGTGGAGAACGTACGGACCACCGAGATGCTAGTCTATCTCCGCCATCTGTACCGCCTGCTGGGCAGGACACTGCGATCCCTGCCTGGTCAGAGACTGAGCTGGAGATGAAGGGAGAGAATCAGTCAGTGTCTCCAGATCTCCTAGGAGTGGGAATGTTTGGGGTCGACAGGACTGGACCGTGTACCGACTCAGCCTTTCCTCCGGCTCCCAAGAGCAGCTGGAACTATGTGGTGGTCCATATGGACACACAGAGACGCAGAAGAGACAACACGAAATTCGTCGAGTCGCTCGAAGAGATAGTTAGCAAGGGATTCTGCATTCCAGATGCCCAGATTGGGGTTATCCTGAAGCACATACAGTGTGTGTCTGAACCGTTCCTTCTCCTTCGTCTACACTCTGTACTGACTGTGGACGCTAGCTCTAGACGTAGCGTGGGTCTTTCTTCCAGGGAAGTCTGGAGCCTCATCGAAGACTGCTGCCTGCAGTTTCCCAGCTCGGGGACTCCCTCCAGTCCCCCTCGGCAGTCTGCCCACGTGGTCCTGGTCTACCTGGTCTCTCTACTGGCAACAGATGCTGCAACAGCAGCCACTAATGTTGGCAGGGTGGCTCTGATAGAGCAGACCCTGTCTCCAGGTGCCCACTGGCGCCATGTCAGGGTCATGGTGGACCTGCTCTTTGAACAGCTGGTCCGACCTCCTCCGTCGTCTGCTCTTCCTGATCTCCTTCCTCTCTTGGCGGTGCTGCTCTCCATGTGTGCGTCGTTTGCTTCCAGAAGGACTGGGTGTGGGGATGGAGCGATGCGTCTGGCTCGTGAACTCTCCTCGAGAATGTCAAAACTCTCATCTGTGCAGCTCAAGACGGACTTTCTTCTTCTCATTCCCTGCCACTCACTCCGTGAGAAGGTTGTAAACATCCACCTCCAGAAGGAATTCCCTCTACCCACCTTGCTTAGCCACACCCCTGTACCTTCTGATCACGTTACTCTTGAACTCATCGCTGGCACTCACTTCCACCGCTGTCCCAGTCGCAGGGATGGGTCTCCTCAAGATCTCGCCTTCTTCCTCTCCCTTCTCTTCCACCTCCTGCACTCTCACTGCTCAAGGCTGCTAGGCCCTGCCGCTGCTGGTACTCTCTCCTTCTCTCACCGTCTCCAATCTCCCTCGTCTTGTTCACCTACCACTGCCACCTCCACCTCTCACCCACCCCCATCTCCCTCCTGCACACACACACCCTCCACTGCTTCAACCTCTACCTCCTACCCTTTCTCCTCTCCCTCTTCCTCACATCCACCACCCACTACGTCTACCTCCACAAACTTTTCCCACCCTCACCAACCATCTCCCTCTTCCTCCCATCCACCCTCCCCAACTTCTACTTCCACCGCTCTATCACCCATCGACCTGGCCAGGAGACTCGAGCCCATTTCGAAAGAGATTCGGCAACTGTTTCAGAGGCTATCGCAGGACGAGGCCCTCTTGCAGGAGATGACCTCTCCTGACTGCTGGTTCCACCTCCAGCTTCTCCAGAACATGTTCTCCTGCTACCATATCACTGAATGAGGATTCCCTCCTTTGTTTGTTTTGTGTTTGTGTCATTTTTAGACTCTGCCTGAGTGTTGTGACAGAGTATTATCAACTCTAATGCCGTAACGCCCAATTTGCCGTGTATAATTACATACCGCTTCGTAACGCGAGCAAACTTCCGGCCCCGCCCTATTTCGCCCCTCTGTGTTTGTGTATAGCTACGAGCTCAAGCTGAAGCTGTGCAAGCTCCTTTTCCAGCAAGGGCAAGCACCTCGTCTGTATGCCAGCAAGTCGGACTTTACTTCTGACTAAGAAGACAAGTCTTGTGGGAGTGCGGGGAGTGAGTTAGCTATGCGCGTTGCTGCACGCGATAAAAATTTTGGGTGTGGCTCGTTTGATAAACACAGCGTATCATGGCCACTTGGTCGGGCGATCAGACGGCCAGCGAAGGTTTAGATGAGGATGATTTGGGAACTTTGTGTAACGCACTTCAGCCAGTAAGTAAAAAGTACAAGTTCCTTGGTTTACAAATAGGAGTAAAGAAAAGTGAAATCGAAACAATTGAAGCACAGCACGACCCTGGCGAATGGTTGCTTGAAGTTCTGTCTCTGCGTTTAAAGAAAACGAAGACAATAACATGGAATGATATCGACACGGCACTACGGTCAGGTTGCGTGGGCGAGGATAAAGTAGCAGATGGCATACGGGAAAATTACAGCCACCTGTTTAGCCCTGGCCAAGAGCACGATACTAAAAGGAGAAAGAAGAAAGAGAAGATGGGAAAATATACTCACAGGTATCGTGAAAGATAGTAGTGATAGACAAGAGGAAGATTCAGATGGGGAGGTAAGTGGGCGTGAAGCACTGAGAACAAAACCCAAGAAATCCCCAGAAACACATTTGAGCAGCAGTGAAAAAGAATCAAAGGTGAAAAAGGTAAGGGAGACAGTAGGGAAGTCTTCCGCTCGTCATAAAGAAAGAGAAATTGCAGAGGAGAGAAAAGGAAAAAATAAGAACGAAAGATCAACTAAAGTCACATCTGCACAATCCGAATGCAGAGAGAAAGTGCAAAAGGAACGAAAAGGAAAAAGAGAGAAGGAGGTTTCAATAAGAGATGATTTTTCAGAAACAGAAGGTGACGATACACAATCAGACAATGAGAATGAAATGATGACAAAAGAATCTGACAATGAAACTTCGGCCTCTAGTAGCGGAGAAGAAACAGTGAATTTACTATTTCAAGGTGAAGTGAGGGAGAAAGCAGACAAATCAAAGGTGTCTGCCAGAGAAAAGAAATCAGTTGAGCCAAAAAGAAAAGGAAGAATAAAAGAGAAAAATCAACATAAAGAAAAACATAAGGGAGCTGGCGATGAAAGAGGCCAGTATTCGGATGGGGAGGTACACGAAACGCCTCCTCACAAATCAAATGAAGTAGAATCAGAAGATGGCAAAGGGATTAAAGAAGCACGAATAGGTAAGAAAAGAATGGCCCAATCAGTAAAGGAACACCTCTCCCTCAGTTCAACAAGAGAACAACAGATAGGGAAGAGAAATGCCCCAGTAGCTTCAACCAGAGGAAAAACGCATTCGAAGCAAGGCGCAAAACAGTCAGCGGAATCGAGAAGAGAAACAGGAGTTTCATCGACAAGGAAGACCACAGCTCTTCCTCTAGAAGAAGATATGCCTGGTTCCGATAGCGCTCAATATGACTCAGAAAATGACAAATCAGATGCAGACGGCAGTGAGAATGACAGAGACGGAGACTCAGAACAGAAGTCATCCAATGAGGAGGAAGAGGAGGAGGAAACATTTCCAAGTGAAGTAAGGGAGAAAGCTGACAAATCAAAGGTGCCTGCTAGAGAAAAGAAAGTTGAGCAAAAACGAAAAGGAAGAATGAAAGAGAAACAGACAGAGAAAGAAAAGCAAAGAAGAGCTGGTGATGAAAGAGGCCAGTCTTCAGATGGAGAGGTACATGAAACACCTCGTCACAAATTAAAGATATCGAAAGGAGTAGAATCAGAAGGTGGCAAACAGAACAAGGAAGCACAGAAAGGTAAGAAAAAAGCAATGAAAATGGCCCAATCAGTAAAGGAAAGCCTCTCCCTCCGTTCAACGAAAGAACAGCAGAAAGGGAAGAGAAATGCCCCGCTTGATGAAGCAGCTTCGACCAGAGAAAAGTACCTCAAAACGCATTCAAACCAAAGCACAAAACCACCGGAATCGAGAGAAACAGGAGTTTCATTGACAGGGAAAACAAAGAAAACCGCAGCTCTTCCTTTAGAAGACGACACGCCTGGTTCAGGTAGCGCTCAATATGACTCAGAGTATGAGGAATCAGATGCAGACGGTAGCAGTGAGGATGAAGAAGACAAAGACTCAGAACAGAAGTCATCAAATGAGGAGGAGGAGGAGGAGGAGGAGAGGAAACAGAACATGATGACGAGTCTTCTGCTGCCGCTATCACTAGCGAAGAGGAAGTGCAGACGAGAACCAATGAAAAATCACTGAAAAGTGAGTTCACGGCTTCTAACGAGAAACGAAGTAAGAGAGCGAAAGGAGGCTGGGAAAAGAAAAGAAGTAAAAGTCGAAGCAGCTGCGGATGTACCAGACATACCCAGAGAATCAGTCCCTGGTGGTAGGGGCAGGGACCGAGAGGAACACGACGTTCAACCAAAGAAAAAGGGAAGGAGAAGGCTCAGGGAGAGTGGTACGAGTCCTATAGCCCAAAGGTAGCTCCTCCCCCTCCACTTCACAGGAGGAAAAGCAACAGGAGTCTGACCCCAGAGGACAACGGAGGAAGAAGGAACGTGGAACAGGATACAAGAAAGAGAAGAAGGAGAAGAAACAAGGAGAAACAGACAAGCCACCCAGTTCCTCTGAGACTGACGACTCCTCACCAGAGTGCGACATGGCCCAGAAGTTGTCCAAAGCGGACGGCAAGAAACTCAGGAAAACGTTCCGCCAGTTTTTCGGTCACCTCTGCTGCGAGATTACCAATCCTGTTCAAGTCGCGGCTCAACTGCAGAAGAAAGGCGTGATATCCATTTCAGTGATGAAGGACATGATCATGTCTCCGGAATCTCAACAAGCCAAGACCATTAATTTGGTTGGTGCGCTCGACAAGAAAATAAAGTCGCATCCTGACCGGCTCTTCCTGTTTATCGAGGCACTGCTGGAGAGCAGTACTCCACAGCTGCAGGAAGCAGGCAGAGAAATGTCGAGAAAAGCCGGTAAATAAAACTGTATGTTTGAATAACAGACTTTAGGCAGTGAAACCTTTACTTGCAGGTGAAGTCTGTCCCGACAGAGAAGTTGCAAAGTTCCCAACTCCCTTTAAAACTGGGACTTCCTCATCTGACACAACAGGTAGGCATAACGTTTTGCTGTAGTATATATACTGTGTTACGGCTTTCCTCTGTACTATGTGCAGGAAACAAAGGGGAGGTACTGCCCAACAAAGCCAGAGTACGTCAACTCAGGTAACCCACTGAGTATAGGAGGTGAGACTACAGTATTGTCGCTGGAAGTAAGTCAGTCTGCACCGCAGTTGAACCCAGTCTTGGCTATATACAAAGAATACCTGAAGTCCTATTACAATGCTAGAGCCCTAGCTCCAGCAGACAAGTACCTTCCCACTCTCAGTGTCCCCTACATCAACCTAGCCATGGTCGGTAGAGGGTACTGCGGCCCCTGAGCAGAGGGATGAGTTCACTAGACAAACGCTGCATGGAGGGGTAGACCAGATCCTCCAGAGTAAGAAACCTCTTAACATTAAAGACCTGCTGGTGCCAAAAGACAGTGGTAGGCCAGTCAGGTTCATTCTGGTGGAAGGTCCTCCAGGAATTGGTAAGAGTACCTTTGCCTGGGAGGCGTGTAGGAGATGGGACGAGATAGAAAGCCTCAGAGGCTACCACACTGTGGTGCTGCTCAAGTTGAGGGAAAAGTGGGTCTTGAATGCCACATCACCTTCTGACCTCTTCAGATACCCTCCTGATCCTGAATTTAGTAAAGCGATTGCAAAAGCATTGAATAGTTCCCATGGGCATAACCTCTTGCTGATTTTAGACGGATTCGACGAAGTCTCTCACAGTTTCCATGAGAACTCTGTCATAAAAAGTATCTTGTGCAGGCAACTCTTGCCAGAATGTACCATCATCCTAACTACTAGGCCATCCGCTAAGCACACGCTCCGAAGCGTCTGCCAGCCTCGAGTTGATAAACACGTAGAAATCATCGGGTTCACAGAGGAAGATAGAGTGAGGTATGTCACTGAGGTCTTTAGCGAGGAACCAGAGCTTCAAGTGAATTTCTTAAAGTACATGTTTCTTGTCCCTCACATAAAGTCAATGATGTACATTCCACTCAACTGTGCCATTATAGCACAAGTCTATTACGAGTCTCAGAGTAGCCGCCACCTCGCTATACCAAGAACAAGAACACAGCTGTACAAGGCACTCACTCATTCTCTTCTCGTCAGACACATGAAGATGAAAGACAGCAATTGCGAGTATTCATCAATGCTTCCAGAAGGTCTAGATGGAACTCATATGGATAGGTTTAAAATTCTGGCAAAGTTTGCTTTCGATAGCTATCACAAACGTGGGTCAAGGAAGGTAACATTTTTCAAGGAGGATATCCCTGAGGGATTAGTTCATTTCGGGTTCATGAACGAATCCACTGAAATGTATGCTAGCAAAGGAATGGGGCGAACATTGTCATTTCTCCACCTCAGCCTACAGGAATACCTGGCAGCTTGGCACCTAGCTAAAAGCTACAGCATTGAGTTTCAGGTGGCTTATCATTGGCTGTCTGTGAGGACAGTAGCTCCCAGACCCCCACCTCCTCCACCCACTCAGGGTCCACCTCCACCATCTTTTTATAAGCACATGAAGAAGAAACTCCTTCACTCCCACATTCTCCACATCCTCCTCACACACAGAGTTAAAACAACTTCTCCAGCACGATCCCTCCTCGTACACAGAGCATCAGAGTGTGACAGGAACCACTGGGAGTTCTCCAGTCATGACCTGCGGTCTCATCCCACAGAGTTACCACCATGAGCTTCAAATCCACATCATCCATTTTTTGCTGCTAGCACACAGACGTTCAAAAATTCTCCATCTCGTCGTCACAGAGATGTTAGTAAACATATGACAGCTATGCTCTTTCGTACTGCCTGCACTCCTCATATCCATTGTCTCTGTAGTTATTTACATCAGCATGAAAGTGATTTTCACTGGGAAACATTTGTCAAAGGACTTGATGATCACTGCAAAACCACTACACCAAATGTCACGCAACTTGAAGTGGAACTATATATTGAACCACGTGAGGATGAAAACAAGTGTCTATCTTGGCTAATGAAATCCAAGCTTGTTAAACTTAAACAAGTAAGAAATATATTCAGATGTATTTCCAGTGCTCATGTTAATTATTTACAGTCACTTGTTGGTGTTGAAATACTAAAGATCCATTCTGATTCAATTCAATCTTGGGAGTGGCTGCCAGTGTTACAGTCCCTCAGTGATTTAAAATATTGCACATTTCCAGCGGAGAGGAATGCACTCCTCCACCAACCAATCTACTTCACTGGATAGTTGAACAGAGACTGACAGAGATTGTGGTTGATATTAAATTCCCACCCACCAGCAATCGTCACAGTTCAACAGTTATGCTGGTTGATTTTTTACCAAAATCAGTTCTGAGAATGAATCCAATTACTGAAATGACGTTGTGCAACGTTGTATCTCGTGAGACCATGGCTGGTGTCCGGAGCATCTTACAGCACTGTCCCAGTCTTACCACATTGGAGCTAAGGGGAACCAGACTGGGCTATGATGGAATCATCTACATATGTAGTGCACTTAGAAATAATACAACGTTAAGACATCTCGTGATTCATGAAGATCTTCAATTGCCACTTTCCAGGAAGGAAACGAACCTCAGTGAGACCTCTTCTTTCTCATCCATGGAGAGAGTTCCTCTGCCAGGTAAGACTACCTGCACTGACTTTCTTCTGGAACTAAACGACATTCTCAAGGACAACACTACTCTGGAAGAGATGAACATCCAATCTGGATTATTCCTCCCTCTCTCTGCTGGTGAAGACAGGAAGTATTGTCAGTGGACAGGACTTGGACCTCTTCAACAGTTCAATGTGGGAGCTGTCCGTAGTGGCACATCTCCTAATCTCAGGAGATCATTCTCATCTTCAGACCTAACTCAGCCACAGACTCAACTCTTCTGGGACAGATTTTTCGGTGCATCTTATTCGCGAAAAGCACCATTTGTTGATTTCAAGAAGCTATTTTCCAAGAGGAAGGAGAAAGGAAAGAATTTATGCTCTCTTCCCTCATTCACTGCTCCAGACACTGAAGTTCTACGGTCATTCTCTGGTCTAGACCCTCGTCTCAAGGAGTGTCTGGAGATATCTCATCTCCATCAATATGTGGAGAGACTCAGGAAGACTTACATTAGAATTTTGAAGGAGGTTGCAGATTAATTGTAGATGTTGGACCTTCCCGCACTTTCATAGCAACTTGCTACAAGTTATACAGCGACCTGCAAACCTACAGCAACCTTCATACCTAACATCACATCTACTGCAACCTGATTTTTTTACAACATCTACATCAACCATCATATCTACAGCGACCATCATATCTACAACCACCACCATTATCTACAGCAACCTGAGTATCTACAGCAAACATCATATTTACAGCAACCTACCTATCTACAGCAACCATCATATCTGCAGCGACCTGCAGGCCTACAGCAGCCTGTACAACAACCTACATACCTACAACAACCTTCACACCTTCAACAACATGCATGTCACCATTCATGTCTACAACAAGCTACGCATGCACAGCTACATACACATGTGCCATCAACAGCTGAGTATCATCAAGAAAAAGAACACCTTGAGCAAAACTATGCACAAAATTCACCATGTGGGGAGACTTAGAGGGACTTACTTTGGAATGTTGCAAGATTTACAGATAGCTATGTTATACACCTTTACAACAAGTGCAGCAACCACCAGCAAATTACCAGCATATTATTATGTCCACCAACCAACTTACCTCCAGCAACCTTCACACTTACAACAACCTTCATACCTCCAGTAAAATTCATACTCAGGACACAAACCTACATACTGACCACAACCTGCAACCTGAATTTGATTTCATCGCAGATCAGATTTCAGAAACCTTCACAACCTAACAACTTTCCAACCTTCATAATCACAACTGTGCACCTACTGTATACTATAATTATTGTTTACATCAACATTATGCTAATGAAAGTGAAATGCGCAAAGCGAAGCAAGCAAACCATGCCATCTTTCATTGCCATTGGTAATGACAGCACACAACAGATATCCATAATTCATAATTGCATATAATCAATGGCGAAAGCAAAAAACTGATTTCTCAAACCACTACACTATACTATAGCTACAGTAGCTATAGTATAATGGTAGAAGTTATTAGTTGTCAGCATTATTAACCCTGTCTGTGTGTGTGTCTATTACTCTACATCTCACCTCTCGAATGTCTGTTCGTTACAGAAACGATACCATCTACCCAACGGGCGACGAAGGTCAGAAAGTATGTGGGGGTTTCTCTGAAAATGCTCCGTTGCAGAGCTAGAGCGTTTCCAGCATTGTACGGCTAATGCCGGTAGTTGCCATTTTATCACTGGCGGAAAATGCGCATGCGCTTATATTTAGCACAGTGAAGGCACAAGAAGTCACAACGAATGGCGTGTGTCGACTCTCGCGTGCTATCTATAATATACTACTATAGCTAGCCCGTGTCAGACTCTCTGCCATACCTACCAACCCTCAGATGAACCTTTGCTTGAGAAATGTGTAAAATTTGCTTGATTTGGAGCATTTTTGCTTGAAAATGCATTCAAAATGTATGGGCATCGTTAGCACAAAAAAGAGGGATTTGGCGATTTTTTGGAGGGATAGGCAGTATTTTTGCTTGATTATCAAGCAAAAAGCGGGATGGTTGGTAGGTATGCTCTGCGAGCTACTTCGCCGAGGGTTTGCACTTTAATTATTTCTAGACACAGTTCTTGCAGTATGGTCTGCCCAACTTGGCAAAGAAGCTCCCTCCCTCCAGAGGATTCCTGCAGCTCTGAGAGAGAAAGAGGGAGAGAGGGAGAGAAAAAAGGGAGGTTACAATGAAATTATCATGTGTCTTTGCTCAGAATGGGCATGATGAGTCAAGAGTTACTAGAAACTCTTATGTCAGAATGTCTGAACGTAGTATACCACTGACCATCTATATATTAATCTAGTTTCTCATCCAAGTCAGATGATTCTCTCCAAATTTGAGATGGAAAAGTTAAGAGAAGTTTTCAACGGTATTTCTCGGCCGCAGATTGTCACATCTCACCACTGCTTCCCTTTCTCCATCCATACAGGCCTCCTCAGTAGGTGCATATTCTGTGTTGTCTTGTTGCCCTGACTCTGCTATGCCATCAATAAACCCAGTCGAAATAGCAACCTTTCTTCAAGCAGAGGGCCTTCTGACCTACAAGGTAATTGTGACATCTCCAGCCTTAAGTATGTTCTCGTATAAAGCTCAAGAAACATTTTTCCACAATCTTTTTTCCTGGTAGCTATGACTGTAGTTCCATTTGGTCGTTTGGTTTTTTCCTCTGTAGGTATTTATAGACTTGCCTGTTTTTCTGGGAGAACACCCTAAGATGTCTTGAATTGGCTACTTTGTGTTTCTTTGCTTTATGGAGCTTATGAACAACAAATTGCAATTCTAGAAAGTCAATAATGAGAATGTCTTCCCAGAATGTGAATGGTTAAGCCAGAGAGCTACATAGCTTTAATTGTGCCAATCATCAACATAAAGCTGAACTTGTGTAGGGGAGGCCTGTTTACTTGGTTCTCGCACTAATCTGATCCCAATGTTGATACAAAAATCACCATTATTGGGATTTGCAAATTTCTATGCACATGCTGGAAGCACACATTGTTCTAACCATGTGTTTAGTCCTAAGGAAATTCAATAGATTCTCTTCTTCCCTGAGAGAGCTCTTGTGTGTGTGTGGCTAGTGGCTATGAATGTCGATGTTCCACATTCATGAGCCCCACCCCACGTTTGTCGCCTCCGTCCACGCGCGCGAGATACGCCCATTTCTCTGCATCGGCTCAAGAAAGTGTTTTGATGCATTTTTGGATCTGACTGGTTGATTGCGTGAGTGACCACTATTGTACCAACCTATTCTGCCCTTATCTGGAAAATACTGTTAGTTATTACATACAGGCAGTATCAATCTAGCCTGCACGCGGCGCGGTGTGCGAAAAAGGGGGCGTGCCTGCTCAACACCAATGGCCGCTAGAAGAAGGCGCTGCGATACTTGGTCCAACCAGGCCTTGAGCGATAAAGACTTGAGAGACGTAATAAATGAGCTTCATCCACTTGTTCACAAGTATAAGCTTTTTGGCATACAGCTCGGGGAGATAGAGTATAGTGACATAAAGAGAATAGAAGCAGAATGTACTCAATCCAGTGACCGTTTGCTTGAAGTAATTTCTCTTCGTTTGAAAAAAACTAAAGCCCTCACATGGGGAGATATAATCAGTGCTCTTAAATCCCCAAGTGTGGATGAGAGTCAGATAGCAGAGGGCATACGTAAAAGGTATGGAAGCCTAACAAGTGAATCTGAGAAACTGTCAGAAAAGCCACAAAATAAATCATTTACAAGTGAAACTCTGCTCAAAAGGACTCAACAAAAAGTTGAAATAGTTAAGAAGCGTTCAGAACCAGAAAAAGGAAAAGCCACACATGAAGCAAAAAGCTGTGAAAGTAAAGTCCAACTAAAAGGTAGGGAAAGAAGTAGTCAAGTACGCAAAGAATTATCAGAGCAAAGAGCACAAAAAGAAGTGCCAGAAAAGTCTGAAAGTGAATCGTCTGCATCAAGTAGTGAAGAAATAGTAAAAGCAAACAAATCTGAAACACATTCAGAAGATTCCTCAGAACAAGAGCAAAATTCAGATGAGGAGGTAAGGGGAAAAGAATACCAGAAAACCTCAGAGCAAACCACAGGAGATGAATATGCTTCTGAGAGTGAAACAGAAGTGAAAGAAAAACAACAAAAACCAAAGGGTCTCAAAGTGAATATGGAAAGCAAAAAAGGGACCAGCAATGTATGGCAAGTGATACTGGTAACCGACACAAGAGCAGTGAAAGAGATGCTCAAAAACGGAAGCAAAAAGTGTCAAAAAAGAGTGAAATTCAATCGTCTTCAATATGCGGTGAAGATGAAATGGTAGTTACAGAGGAAAAGCTGGCAAGTCACAAACAGCAAAAGAAATGCATAGCAAGGAAGCTGGTCGTCAAAAAGAAAAGCTACGGCTGAAACAGCTCATGTAGCAGAAGAGCAGTATTCGAGATGAGGAACTGTCATACCCATAAAGTAAGAAATAGCAAGAGCGTCAGGAGATCTAAAATAAGATTTCCTCTGGGGAAAGGCAATCGAGAATGAGTACAGAAGCGGAAAGTGAGAAGAAACGCCGTACAGAAAGTAGAGGAGTAAATGCAGGATTCTAATGATACCCAGAATCTGAGGAAGGATATGTAGAAAGAAAGAACAGTTAATCTGAATCTGAATCTGTCAGGTACTCCACAGAAGCAGTACAAAAATCACGAACAAGGCAGAAATCAGCTCAGCTCCACTAAAGGTAAGGTCACGTGATCGATCAGAATTATGAAGAAGAGCAGCGCAAAGCCTCACAACTAAGACACCCAGATAATCGTCTGCAGAGGGTGCAGAAGATAGTGATGAGGGGGAAGGGACAAGATTCTGATGATCCAGAGGTACGCGAAAGACTAAGCTCATAAACCCCAATTGGAATCTGACGATGAGTCTTCTTCTGCCAGAGTACAGTGAAGAGAGAAGTGAAGTCACAAAGTCACGACTGATGTTACAAAAGGAAAAATACAATCAGAAAAGGCCCAAAGTCATCTGAGAAAGAAAACAAGATCCCAGAAAGTAAAGCACGCCTTGAAAATCAGTTCAATGAAGAGCATTTTTCCATCCACGCATCCTCTGATAAGCAGTCTATAAGTGGTAAGAGTGCAAGAAAAGAAAGATACATGGACACTGAAGATCGTTCTAGTTTAAGGGGCAACAAGCGTCCAAAAAATAGACTCAGTAACTACCGAGTCTCTACAGAGAACGCATGAGATGTTTAATCAGAGAGAAAAGAAAAATGAAAACCAAATCCAAAATGTCAGGGGACAGAAAGAGCTCAATGAAGTGACATAAAGATCAAGCAAGCAAGGAAGAGAAAATACCTGAGAGTAGATTCAGCTCAAGAAAGAACCACATAAACTGTAAACGAACCAAGAGAAATGAACGTATCATCAGAGTGAAACAGTAGCCACACCATCGTTCATGCACCACTCAGAAAAACTCTGAAGAAGAAGAATGGGATTCAGAAGATGATAGAGTGAGATGAAGAAGACAGCGCACTCAGACCAAACGCTCATCAAATGAAGAGGAGGGAACGGAACCTGTGCCGGTCTTCTTCTGCCACCAGTGAAGAGAAGTGAAGAAAAGAGCACGTGTAATATCAGGAGAAAGTATGAGGGAATACTCTACCACAGAAGAAACAGGTATCACAAGAAAAAGAAAGCAAAAGAGCGAATGAATCGAGATACGGTGCGGTGGGGACGAAGGCCAGGTGGACATAAAAAAGCACAGGAGAGGAGAGTAATAGCCTCCCACAGCCAGAGGTAGCGCACAAGAGACAGTCATAGACACAACAGGCTTCAAGGGAAGAGAAAGCTAAGGGAAAGGGAGGAAAGGGGTTAGGATTAGGTTAAAAAGGGAGACAAGTTCAAGGTCCACTGAGACCGATGGCTCTTACACTGAATTGCCATTACAAATCTCTGAGACTGAAAGTAAGGGTCTTAGAAATATTTTAAGAGGTTCTTGGACAGACTCTGCTTTACAATGAAGCGCAGTTGAACTAGCAACACATCTTCAGATAAAGAATCTCGTACCATACTCATTAATAATGCGCTACTGACATCTCCTGAATCAAGCAGGCAAAGGCCTATATATTTAGTTGGAAAATCTTTCAGAAACAAATAAAGTCACGTCCGCCAAATTATTTCAGTATAGTTGAGGTGTTCTGGCAGAATGCAGCCCAAAAAGAACCCCGGCAAGGAAATTTGAGGAAATAGGAACTACCAAACGGTTTAATGTTTCTGCCTCTATTATAATGCTTAGTACATCTGTAGGAAAGATTTCCTGAGAAGACAGCCTTTGGTGGTTGGTGAACAATTTCCCCTAAGAAGGCCTTGTGGAATTTCTGGTAGTTACTATTGATTATCCCTATATCATTAATTCATATGTTACTTTTTACAGGGAAAGGAAGTGAGACATAATTCAATACAGTAGTAAGTGGGACACCTGTACCCTGCAAACCAAGTGGTACATATTCATCTGAGACAGTAAGTAGTCAGTACCACACTCAGGTTAGTCCAGTGTTGGCAAAGTTATAAGCGCTTGGTACCGCAGTCTTGTTACAAATGCTAGAGTCTTAGCTCAAGCAGACAAGACCTTCAAACCCTAGATGTTTCCTTTACAGTAATATTGCATGATTAGAAGGGACACGCTCGACATGAGGGAAAGAGAGTGAGTTTACAGAAGAACACTGCATGGGGGAGTAGACAAGATTCTTGAAAAAAAAGATCACAATTAAAATTGAAGATTGTTGGCCTTTGAAGGCACGGTAGAACATGTCAGGGTAGCGCAGATGAACGCATGGTGATGCCCTTCATGGAAAAACGACTCCTACTGCTGTCTGAATATCTTAAGGTCATAGGGGTCGATTAAGTATGTGTCGAGGCACATCAGAAGATAGAAGCGAGCGGCAGGTTCATCTGGTAGAAGGTCCTCCAGGAATAGGGAGGTTACCTTTGCCTGGGACGCAGCAGGAGATGGGATGGATAGCAAAGCCTCAGAGCTACCCACACTGTGGTGCTGTTAGGTTGAGGGAAAAGGGGGTCGTAAAGGCAGCATCACTCTCAGATCTTTTGAGATATCCATCTCACCCTGAATTCAGTAATAGAATAGTAAGAATGGTTAAATTACAAGGGGACGAAAAGCTGCTATTTGTTTTTAGATGGTTTTGACGAAAAGTCTATCACAGTTTCCAGGAGAAATCTGTTAATAAAAGCATTCTATGCGGAACTCTTGCAAGAATGTACCACATTTCTCACTACTAGACCTGTGGCCAAATCCACGCATAGAAAGATTGCCAGCCTATTAGTGATAAGCAGTAGAAATTAGTGGGTTCACAGAGGAAAGAGAGAGTGAGTAGGTATATCCACTAAGGTCTTAGCAAGGAACCAGAAGCTTAAGGTGATTTCTGAAGTACATGTTCTTGTCCCTCACATAAGTCAATGATGTACATTCATCAACTGTTGCCTTATAGCACAAGTCTATTACGAGTCTCCGAGTAGCCGCCACCTAGCTATACCAGAAAAGAACACAGTGTACAAGGCCTCACTCTTATCTTATTGTCAGACACATGAAGCTGAAGGAAAGTGGTTATGAGTATCATCCATGCTTCCTGAAGGTTTTTAAACAAAGAAATATATGACCAGTTTAAGGATTTGGCTCAATTGCTTTTGACAGCTATCACAAACATGGGTCAAGAAAGGTAATGTATTCAAAGAAGATATCCTGAGGCGATTAGTTCATTTGGGTTCCTGAATGAATCATGAAATGTATGCGGGCAAGGAGTGGAGAGAACATTCTCATTTCTCCACCTCAGCCTACAGAATACCTGGACGCTTGGCAACTTGCTAGTAGCTAAGCATGGAGTTTCAGGGTGGCTTATCATAGGCTGGCTGTAGAGGCTAGGTTAGACGACTATAGTTATGAATGTGAAGATGAAGATAGTTTGAATGTGAGAAGAATTAGTTATTGAATGTGAAGACGAAGAACTTCTACAACACTATGGTCCGAAGATTCATCACATATTATTACAAAGGTGATGC